TTTATTTATTTATTTATTTATTTGCAGTACTGGTGATTGAATCCAGTGGCCCTCAACCACTGAACTATATCCCCAGCCCTTAGCTTCAATTTCTTTTGAGATAAGATTTCACTAAGTTGCCAATGTTGGCCTTGAACTTGGCATCTTCCTGCCTCAGCCTCCCCAGTCACTGGGATTACAGGTGTGCACCACTGTGCCTGCCCTTTTTACTCTTATTTTTTTTTTATTTTCCACTAATGACAACACACCATATCTAACAATGTATGTGAGGACTATTTCCTTGTTGCCATAAAAGGATTGTTTTTAGAAACAAGGTTCTGAGCCAAATGTGGCAGTGCCCACCAGTAGTACCAACTGCTGGGAAGGGTGAGGCAGGAGGGTTGCAAGTTCAAGGCCAGTTCTGGGAATGTAGCTTAGCCACCATCTGTGGAGGCCCATCCTATCCCAGAGGACCCCTGGATTCAATCCCACTACTAAAAGAAAAAAAAAAAGGAAGGAAAGAAGAAAAGAAACAAGATTGTCTCAGAGACCTGAAAGCCTTTTTCCTTCATATTTTCCACAACTCTTTTTTTTTTTTTTCTATGGTACTGGGGATGGCACCTAGGATGTCACCCATTCCACAGCCTCTTTCCCCTGGCCTACCTGCAGGCTCCTGCCTACTCCTGGATTCGGGGCTCCAGCTCCTTGGGCTAGTCCGTGGAACAGAGGTCTGCTTGGGCACCTCTGGAGGTGTAGGGCTCAAGGAAGGTTCCCAGGAGAAGGTGTGGCCGGCTGAGCACTCCCACACCAGTCCCCCATCTTGGCCCCCAGGTCCCCGAAGACCAGGCACTAAGCTGCATTCCCGACTGTGGACATGGGACAAGAGTACCAGATACTGCAGACCCTTGGGGGGCAAAGGCTCTGGACCTGGAGGGGGTTGGGGGAGCAGTCAGGTTGGGCTAGAAGGCCCCTCCTCTCACCCAGAAAACCACATTTAGACAATGCGCTCCCCAGAAGCCCCAGTGCAGATTTTCATCCTTCAGAGCGCAGACCCTGAGGCCCTGAGACATTGCTCCCCATCCCAGAGGTGCCCAAAAGACTAACTCCCCAACTCCATCCCCCTTCCCACTTTATTCAGGGCTTCCAGCCAATTGTCTCTGGGTACCATTGTCTTCTGGGTCCCACCAATCCCTTTGCTCCTGTCCCTTCTGGCTCCTCCTCTGCCATCCTCTACCTACCTGCACAGAGGACACAGCCAGAAGTGTACCTGCCGAGGGAGAAGCTGCAGGTCAGATCAGAGCCTGGGTGACCATCACCCTCGGCCCTGGGCCACACACTTAAGGGGCGAGGCCTAAATGACCCCTCTTCGCTGGGGCCACGGAGGTTGGAAGGACCCTGGGAGGCCACAAATCACTCAGATCATACTGCTAAAGTGAGAAACCTGAAGGTGGAAAGGAGCAGCTGCTGCACCTGACCCCAGAGGGGACAAGAGGCTTGCTGCCTGAGGCCCGCCCCGACCCCTCCCGACACCCCCACCCGACACCCCCACCCGCAGCCCCCTCGTCCCTGACCGGTCCAGCAGGAACTTGGCGAGCTGCGAGTGCAGGGAGAAGCCCAGCCGCTCTTTGAGGAGGCACCATTGCTCCATGTGGCCGCCCAGGCGGATGCGGCACTTGCTGCGGCGCGCGTCCAGCTGCCTCCGCTTCTCCCGCCGCAGGCAGGACGCGTCCACTGCTGGGGAAGCCATGGGACCCGGGCCTGGAGGGGAAGGGGATGCTCCTTGCCGGCGGGTCCTGGGGGCAGAGCCCCCTGCTCCACCGCCCTCTGGCTCATCTGTCCTCATCGGGGCCTCGGGCAGAACTCAACTATTTCAACAGCAGCAGCCGCCACTGGAGCCGAACCGCCCTGCACAAGAGGGTGTGCGAGCGGGGCGCTGTGGGGGGCGTCGCTGGGTGCAGGTCAGGGCCAGGATGAAAGTCAGGACAATAGCCCGCGCCCTCCAGCCCACTCAGGTGTCAAACGCCAGCTGCGGAAAGGGGCGGGAGACTTGAAGGGGAGACTTCAGCTGAGGCGGGGGCGCGGGCACTTCACCGGCCTTGCTGCTTTCCGGGGGGCAGAGATGGTGTTCTGGCGTGCAACTGGGCGCTCTTCTCGGCCAGGTCGGGGGTGGGCCGCACGGTGCCCCCACCCCTCCTCGGGCCGCCGCACTCGACGCTCACGGAGCGAGGGGCTGGCCAACCCCGCTGGCAGCTCCAGGCGGCCAGGGCCCCGCCGCTGCCCTCCCGCATGGGTCTTACCTGTGCGCCCCCACCCACCCTCACGACTGCGCCTGCGCCCTGGCCTCGCGCGCAGGCCGGGAGCGAGGCGGGAACACCGGGGCCCACCTCGCGCGCGCCCTGCCGTTTCTCTTTTAAGAAACCGTCCCCTCCGCGTCGGCTTCGCCCGGAACTGCGGCCGGTCCCAGGAGGGGCGGGGGTGAGGGAGGGAGGCCGCGATGCGCCTGCGCACTGGGCGTCCGCGCGCCCCCTGCCGGCAGCGGTGATCCTACGCGAGCAGCGCACTGTGGTGAGCTGCCTGAGTGGCGAGTGGCTGCTTGGGACCGCCAGAGGCTTTGGGGAACGAGGGGTGGCCAGGATCAAGCCCTCCTGTGCACAGACCCTGGCCCTCCGATCAGGATAGACACGTGACCTCTCTAGCCTCTTTGCCTTCTTAGCACTCTCGAGCTCCCTTCTCAGTTGCCACCAGCGAGAAAACACGTGCTGCAGAAGACTAGCGCCTCCTCTGGACCACGAGGCCCCGTCAGGCACAGCCTCTAACCTCTGGTAGCTTCAGAATTCTTCCGAAGAGTTGCCTAGATGATCTGCAGGCTCATTCTCTCTTCATTCTCCTCAAATGGCTCCGCTGGAGCTGTTCTCTCCAAGCCCTGCAATGGCTCCTCTCAAGATTGTTTGATGGCCATGTAGCTAAATGCAGTGGTCAGTTTGGCCTGCCTCTCAGCCCTAGACCGAAGCGACTATCATGGGTACATCTCTCTCCTCCTCTTCCCAATGGATGCCTTCACGCTTTCCCAAGCTCTTGTGATTTCACCTGATCCCGGGTTTCCTTCCTCCTCCTGTAGCAGTGGTCCACTTTATACTTGAATATAACCCTTGCTGCTCTGCCACTGCAACTTATTTTTAAAATGAATATATTTCTTTCTCTTCCTCTCCCTGCTCCTCCCTAATCTTAGAGGAAATCTTTCTAATCCATTTTATTGATTGATTAATTAATTGATTGGTACCGGGAATTGAACTCAGGGGCACTCAACCACTCAGCTACATCCCCAGCCCTATTTTGTATTTTATTTAGAGACAGAGTCTCACTGAGTTGCTTGATGCCTCACCTTTGCTGAGGCTGGTTTTGAACTCACAAAACTCCTGCCTCAGCCTCCCAGACGCTGGGATTACAGGTCTGCACCACCGTGCATCCCACATGCTGGGCAAGCACTCTGCTACTGACCTACATCCCCAGCCCTTCTTCCCCACTTTAGGAAGATTTGTCTGTCCTTGAGCACACACCCACCATAGGAAGGAAGTAATACAGACTTTGGGGATAGAACCAGAAGATCTCAGAAATAACTATCTCCCAAATTAACAAGTGAATTACAATTCCAAGAGAGAAAATGTGGAATGCAGCCTTTGAATTACCTCTATAAAAACCCCCTGGTTCCTGCTGATGGGCAGAATCACAGCCTTTGGGATTGGAGTCCCCTGTGCTTCTCCTTTGCTAGCAAAGTAATAAAACTTTTTTTCTTTTTTCTCCAAACCATGCCTTCATTATTGGATTGGCACTGGGGAGAAGGACTGAGTTTCGGCAACACTCATTGGCCTCCTCCTTCCCCTTGTTGGACCCTTCTCTTCCATCTTCTGTGGGACCAAGTATCTCTTCTCCACATGTTTTTTTTTTGGGGGGGGGTGGGGGCAGGGAGTGATCTCATTAGGTCCCCTAGCTTTAAATTCACTGATGGCATCCAGATTGATATTCCAGCCCAACCTTCTTTCAAACCCAGACTTGAAAGTCTTTTTAACTGCCTGCTTGGTTTTCCATGGTTAATTCAGTTCATTCAGGTAAAGAATTGAGGACAGTGCTTGGTGCAAAGATAGCCTGAACATATGCTAGCTTATATTTTCTCTGACTATGAAAGATAATGCTTAAAACAGCCCATTCCCCTCTCCCTTATCAGTTCTCAGTAAATGGTGCCATCATCTATGTAATTGCTCAAAACTAAAACCTGGGAATCAGGCTTGAGTGTATCTTCTGGGACATCTGACCATAAACCAATAAGGTGTGTGTGTGTGTGTGGGGGGGTTGTCCCAGGACCACCTGCCTGAAAGGGCTCTAGGAGAGAATTCATTCCTTGTCTCTTCCAGCTGCTGGTCATGGCCAGCATTCCCTGGCTTTTGGCAATGTCACTTCAATCTCTGTATCTGTGATCATATTGCTTTTCTCTTCTACATCAAATCTCCCTCTGTTTCTCTCACAAGGAAGCTTGCAGGTGCATTTATAGTGCAACAAGTGATCTCCCATCTCACTGTTCTCAAATAATTACATCCAAAGGGTTTGGTGCAAGGTGATCTTCCTGGATTCCAGTCATTAAGGCTTGGAGGTTCTTTCTGTGACTAGTTCTTAACGTACCAGACCACCATCATAACTCTCAGGGTCTATGCCCACACCCTTCCCATGAATCTACCTTCTACTTTGACATTACTCTCACAATGCAGATGAAGTGAAGGCAAATCTCTTCCTTAAAACCTCTAGTTATCTCTAGTGTGATCCAAAGTCCTTACTGTGGCCTTAGGTCCTAGGAGATATGACCCCTGGCTACTTCTCAGGAATCTTCCTCTGAATTCCTGAACATTATGCTCTCTGACCTGGCCACTTCCACTTGCTCACTCTTTCTGATGTGGGTTGACCATGCTGGAGGGAGCTTCTTTTTTCTTGGGGCACTTCCTCCTAGCTCTTCAGGTGGGCGCTTTCTTTTCACCATGTATATCTTGGCTGTAAGATTAACCACTCAGATAGCTCCTTCCCTCTGTCAGTTTCTACCCCACTGTGCCCTATTCTCTTGCTTTGACCACACTCATTGTTTTTTGAAATCATTTTAGGGACTTGTTTGTGTATGTGTGTGTGGGGGAAGGTTGTTTGTTTTTTGGTATATGATGATTGTTGGCTACCCTAGCCTTCTTCTGCAAAGGCTAAATATACCAAGTGTCATGGAGTTCAAACACGAACCACCCTTAGGAAGAACCCAGTATTTCCTGTCCATGTTCCTATTCATTTGTGGTCTTGATGATTCAATATACTTGTTGAGTAGCATAAGGTAGGAAGGAAGATCAGCTACCTTGTTCCAGATACTTTACTCACTAATAAGGGTAAAACCTATGTTTATATGTAAAGCAGGAGTCTTCCAGGCACCATGGTGCATGCCTGTAATCCCAGGCTGAGGCAGGAGACTGAGGCAGGAGGATTGGAAGTTCAAGGGCAGACTGTGTGACAGGAAAATCCTGCCTTAAAATATAAAAAAGGACTGAGGATGTAGCTCAGTGGCAGGTGCTTGCCTAGAATGCCTGAGGCCTTGGGTTCACTGGAATTCAGGTCCTCACAGTGCACTGAGGTCACTGAAGGAAGAGAAACATTTACTGAGAAACCACCTCTCCTTCCCCAACCCCAAGAAGTTAGTGCTCTTCTGCAGGACTCAAAAAGGTGGGAGCTGGTGGCTGCTTTTGAGATAATTATTCATTCCTTACTTCAATGATTGAAAATTTAGAGAGGTCGACAGAAAAAGATATCTTTAAAATTCTAGTTCCTCTGTACAACTACAAATAGGTCCCATAATTCTTGGTTACTCTTAGACAATAAAAAAAAATTTAACTCATTTTGAAACCCAAGAACATTCTTAGTTCTTTGGGTTTGATACTGTTCAAAACAACTCTAAACTTCTTCCAGAGTCAAATGCTCTCAAGAGATCAATCCTCTTTTTCTCTCCACCTCCCTTCAATTTCTCACATCATGGAAACAAGGAATGAACAATTGTCTCAAAGGTAGCCCCAACTCTCACCTTTCTAAGTACCATGGAAGAGTGCTTTCAGGGGATGGGAAGAAGAGGCAGATTCTCTGTAAATATTTCTCTTCCTCAATGACTTCAGTGCAATGTGAGGACCTGAGTTCTATTTTAGTGTCCCATTACAAAGGCTAAGATTGAACTTGAGCTATTTGTAGCTCTGCTGCTGTTTGGCTATGGCTTACAGCCCACTGAAACCGCCAGTTCTTTTTCACATATAAAGTTCCTAATCTCCCCATCACAAACTCTCATAACTAGGGGGTCTGTGTGGAGAACATTCATCTCCATAACATTTATGTTTTCCTGGACTTTACATGTTACCCCATGGTTGTAGCCAGATCTAATAATAATGGTGTATCATCTGAGCTCTCAATAGTCCATCTCTTAAGAGAAAAATCACTTTCCACTCCCCTGGCCCACAGAGGGAAGAGCCAAATTGTTACAGCCTTGGAATCACTAAAATTCTGAGATGACGACTTACTGGAAGTGCAAGCCCTTTGGGTGTCCACAGAAAGGCTCCTAGTAGCACAAGACCCACCCACTCTATTTGTCTACTCCCTCCGACAATTGGTAGGCGGTGCCTCTCCCCAGCAGCCAATCATGCCGGGCTGTGGCACACAGGTTTTCCCCCCCCCGCCCCCGCCATGACGAAATGTGGGCGGGGCCAGGCGGGACAGTATATAAGAGACGCAGGGCGGGGATCCTTAGTATCTGACTGGCCCATCCGCGAGTGCTGGGTCGGGAGGTTTAGACGCTGGTCTGGAAGAGCTGGAAACGCGAAGGACTTGAAAGCGAGCTGCGGGGGAACTCACAATTGGAAATGTTATGGGCGGCCGGGGTGCTTAGGGCCTCGAGGCTGGGGAATCGGCAAAGTCCGGGACGCCAGCTTTGAAGCGACACCATGTTCCAAGTGCTGAAGCAGCAGCTGCCCAGTGACACGGTGGCCCCGCTGCCCGTGGTGAAACCTTACCTTTTCGATCTTCTCACCCACCGGCGAGGTGACAGGGCTCAGGCAGGAGAGCGTGGGAGAGCTGGACCAGCATGGCCAACAGAGGGCCATGCGCTCTGCTGAGATCACAGCCGCCTTGGTGTGGCCATTTTTCTCTGAGCTGCGCTTGGCGCCCACATGTCTTCC